TAGAAGAATTTAGTAACAGCTGTTTGGCAGGAACAGAAATTTCTTTCTATTGCTTTTTTTATAAGTTTCATTTCTTTTCTTTCTTTACTGGTAATAATACATTTCAAATAATTTTTAAATTTAAACAAAACATAGAAGAGATCGATAGGATAGATTAGAAGTGCGGCACATTCTAATTGTTCTCTTAATCTTTCTCTATTATTTTTCTTTCTTTTCCGCTTTTTCTCCACATCATGATTATCTGATCTGAAAATGCTTTACCCATTATTAGCTAACTATTGTTTCCATTTTCTCATTCCTATTTTCTTTTCATTCGTTTGTTCATTTTCGTACTAATATATGAAAGGAAAAATATTGCTACGAATTGATGTCAGGTGGTTTAAGCATTTTATAAATTTATCATTCCTATTTAACTATGCACATTATATATGTTTTTTCGTCTCCCATTCTTACGCTTATTTAGTTAACAGATTATTCCGCGATCTTTTAGTATTTTTCAAACATACTTTAGGGTTGAAACTCTAAACTGAAATCTGATCTGACCAAAAGATAGCTAACCCAAATTGTAGAGTATTAGTATTAGCCATGGAAAAAAATGAATAATGATGATGATAGCTTCTTCTTCTTCTTCTTTAAGATGGAAATGTTGTTGGAATGTTTGACTAAGGCCATTCATTGAGTGGTTGTAGTAGTAAGAAAGAGAAGAAGGATTTTTTTTAGAGGTAAAAAGAAGCTATTCCAAAATAAAATTAATTGATATGTGGCTTATGTGACACTTTGAGAAAGCTTCCTTTCTCTTTTCTTCTCTCTCTCTCTTTTTCATGATAACTTTTTAAATTGATGGCGGAAAAAGATGAAACACACGGATAGAAAGACTACCGTCTGAATTCATTCTTTTTTTTGCATGGGATACGTTAAAATGGCAATTTGGTGAGGGTAATTTTCAGATGCACATCAATAAAGATGAAATTCATAGGTTTCTCATTTTTTAAAAAGAGAGAGAGAGAGAGAGGGAGAGAGAGGCAGTTGAAATATTCATTCTACGTCCTTCATCCGTTGCGTCGGTCTTCGCTTTTTTCCCCTGTATCAATATTCAACTTCTCTACCTTTTTTCTGTTCTCTCTCCTTCTCTTTTACATCATTACTTGTAAAATAGCATTCAATCAAATCTAAAAATACGAATGCTTTTTTATAAAAAGCATTTTTTTTGGGTATTTGAATCTACGATAAGCTAATGAAGGTTGGTTGATATTGGTGTAGGGTGGGATTTTGTTCTCAATGTTAGTATGCATTGAAAAGTTTTTTAATAAAAAATCTGTTTGTGGTTGGCATAATAGTGATGATGATGATGATGATGATGATGATTTATCCAGATTAGCAGGAATAGGATGTAAAATGAGATGAAACGAGCCGGAAGTTCAAGTTTATTATAAATTGCTCCGTTCTATTATCATCAATTTTCTTCGTTATTAAAACAGATTCTTATGAAACGGCAAACCAGTACCAAACTATAAAGAAAAAACAAGAGAGCAAAAAAGAAATACATATACATATTCGTCTGAATGATTAAGAGCAAATGTATCCTGTTCGATAATTTTATTCGACTGATAGCGAAGTTTGAGATTATTTTATCTTTGTTAACAAAAGATCATATGAATATTTTATTTATATGATGGAATATTTCTAAAGTACACATTTGAAAAAAAGAAAGAAAAGCAGGTGGAAGAAAGAAAGGAAAAAATTCACAATCAAAATAAAACTTTATTGTTTTAAGTTAATAAAGAACGAAGTAAATAATAGAAACATTCATTTCTCTAAATTATAATTTTTATTTATTTAATTTGTTTGTTACATATATGACATAAAGAAAAGATTTTATTTAACTCTGTGAAATAGTCATAAAGCTAAAGGGAACAGCTGCTTTCAGGAGATGATAATGGCGGTATTTATTATTTAGCAGATGTTGATACTAATGAAATGAATAGTTAATTATTTATCTCCCTGCTAACAAATTAATCCTACGAAATGGTAATACCACTTAGTAATAGTAATCATATTGTACTACTAGTAGTAACAGGAATAGTGTAATTGTTGCGGTTATGATAAAAATGTCAAATTAAAATGAAGTTTTTTTCTGATAGGTTAAATTTTCTGATCCACTAATTAAATATATTTATCAGTATACTTACATATCAAGTAAATATATTTATTAATGCATTAAACCGCGAAACCGATATGTTACAATATCATCTTCAATGCTTCCTCCGTATTGGCATGAATAGATCTGCGAAATTATTATCTGGTAATGGTTATTATTACTACGATCAAATATTTTAAACTGCATAGCTATTAAATTATTTCATTGAATGCATCCATTAATTGATTAAACTTATCTATCACCTTATAAACATTTTATCATTGTGATAAAATGGTGTAAAATTTGACATCAAATTTCAAATAATATAAGCTAGCAAAGTGGACAGTTTTCAATGATGCAATAGTTTAATTTATTATTCATAATTATTGATATATTTTCATTATAATGCATTATCATATTTCTTCATTATAATACTAATTACCAATCCTATTATGATATTATCTGATTGAAACTATTTGTTTATCAATTATTCCTTATCAATAATTTCTACAATATTTGTCACACATACCTAAATATTTACACTTTAGTTATCTCATATTTGCATTCTTTATAATCCGATGCAGAAATTATATTTCTCGTTAAATGTGAAATTTTATGATTAAAATGATATATGCATCATTTTCATGCATATATGGTATTTCCTTCAATATAATATAGCCAGTTGCAAATTTCGATATTTTCAACGATAATACCTAAGCCGACATAATAACAGTAATACTCAATAATATTGTTGATCATAATGGATATTTATAGCAATATTGGGGATATTACTGTTACCATTATTTGATATTAATAGGTAGTAATGATCAATGAATATTGTCAATTGTAATTTGTGAATTTCATTTTAACAAGTTTTAACAAGAAATTGATTTTGTTTATTATATATACATTATATTACTTCTTTTTCCTTTGTTTCACACCTATTAATGATAATCAAATATGACAGATAAGATAAACGGGAAGATTTAATTTTATCATGAGAGCGAGCATACAATTTAACTATCCGATTTCTATCTCTATTTCACCTCATTTATATAATCCGGATGATTCTGTTGAAAATAATATTGATATTTGTTTTAGTTCTTCATAGTTCATTAAATTTACTTGAATTTTCACAAATTTATTATGAAGCTAAAATTGGGATTTTCTTCATTTGAAATATTACTATCTTATCACAGTAATATCAATCATCGTTGATAAAGAAAAAAATAATTACTGAAACTGTTAGCTATCATTTTAATCAATGTACATTTTTTTATTATAATTTTTATTTCAAAGTATAGAAGAATTTAATTTCTTTTTTTTATTAACTAGTGATAAATTAGCCAAGTTAAAGTGATAAAGCCTATGGCTAGGCTTTTTTATCATCACTCTTAGTGAAAGTTTAAAATTGGCTAGGCTTTTTTTAGCATAAAGCTATTTTGAATAATGAAACTTTTAGTTGTCATACTTTTAGTGAAAGTTTAAAATTGAAATATTTATGCTAGATTATTTAGCATAAATCGAAGTATATGAATGTGATAGAAAATTTTATGGTATGTAAGCAAAATGTCTTATCAAATTTTTTCATCAAATTTTCAGCTATTAAATATTTCAATCAATTTTAATGAAAAATGACCGTATGTGTTTTAGTCTAAATTTATAAAGTTTATAATATACTATAATTGTTTTTACTTTTTGCAAGGAATTTAAAAATACATTCATTTATTTCTACCATAAAATAAAATAATTTTTCCTTCACCAATATAATAATAAATTGAAGTAAAGAGGAATTAGCTATTCATGCAAACTTCCCATTCTAAGAAGAATGAAAGGTAAGGAGAGAGAGAGAGAGAAAAAGAAAGAGAAAAGATTATTATGTTTATTCTTACTATTTCATACGAAAGTCATAAATGAATTTCATTGATTTCAAATTGGCACAATAATATTAAAAATAGGAAGAGGGGAGCTTTTTCGTTCGCTTCATTTTCGGTGGATTTAACGGTGCAATTTATTTTGTGCAAATGTTATAATAATGAAAGAATCAGTGAGAATGGAAATTAATTTAGGATGAAATCATTACTGCCAGCTACTATCATCAGCTTCCATAAATAAATAAATAAATATATTTGCAAATAATTAAAAGTTTAATTAATTGTTTTTTTATTGTTTTAAAACATTTAATTTATTTATTAATTGCAATTTTCCTTTTTTCAACTTCGATTTATTTCAGTTTCTCAATATTTCTCACATTTACTACCACCTTTTTTAACTTATATATTTACCTTTAACCTTTTTACCTTACCATCATTTAATATCATTAAATCTTCCATTTACTTTTCTTGCTTATTGTTTTATTACTTTTTCAATTGCTCTTTTAGATTAAGCAAATTTTTCAAATTTTCCTTCTTTTTAAATTTCAAGAAAAGAATGATTCATTTAATTATTAAATTCATTCGATTGGATTAAATATTATAAACAATGGTATTTATATCATTCTTTGATAAGAGATTAGAAAAGGTTATTATGATCGATATTATCGATTGATTAACTGTTTTTTTTTTCTTTTTGATACAATCAATGGATCTACTCTTATCTTACTTTACACTATCATTTCATATCAGTGTAATTGTTGTTGTTAGTTGTCGGTAAGATATATAAGAGCAATAGCTATGATTGATTTTATGATCATTTTGAAATTTCATCATTTCATCAATTTTATTACGCTTTGATCTCATTGATAAATTTACAATTTTTTACAGATTATTGTTAATAATATTTATTAATGAATATGGCATATATGGAATTGATACCTGGTTAAATCTGGAAAACTGTAAGCTGTATTAAGCTGTACGGAAAAGTTATGGAATTGCATTTATTACTGTTTATTGGCTGTTATGTGATACTATTACAGGTTAGAGTGAATTTATCCCAACTTATTTCATTTTAAAATTTTAGAAATTTCTTTTTTCATATTTTCTAAACTCATATAGGAATTAATGAATTTACCAATTAGCATATTATTTTAATTTGATTACAACTTCATTTGAAACGATAATTTTTTGCACTATCAATATAATATGTATTTATAATTTTTATTGGTCGTTTTTGTTTGCTAAAACAATTATAGTAGTAAATGATTGCCATTTTTTTCAATTCGGATCAATTAAATTGTTTCGCTCATTTAATATCATAGGTGATCCGATATTTGCATATACCAAACTATACATATCGGATACAACCATCATAGAAAAGGATCATATGTTGATCTGTGATAATTAGATAATTAATGGTTTTATAATGAATTTAATTTTTTTTCTTAAAATTTTTCTATTTCATTCGGTATATATCTTATTTTTCAACTATTTTTTTCTATCATATCTTAAAATTGATTTCTTTTTAAGTATTCCGTTTCCTATATCAATTTCTATTCATTTATTCCCCCGACTTACCTTTTATTCATTAGTCTATTTTATTAATTTTTGGTGGAGAAAAAAACGATTAACTTTTAGTGCTACCTGTAAGGGAACTTTGCTTTTATTCCAACGAAATCTAATCAGCAACTTTTACTATTACTACTACTAATACCAGTACTACTGTACTGGGCCTCTTGCATAGGCCTTTAATTTAACAATATCGGAATTTATTAAAAAATTAAGAGGAAAATTTCCAGAATTATGCAATGTCTGACAAAATATTGGAAAAGCGTGAAATTTCAAGTCTTTCAAATATCGTCAGACCTAACGTTAGTTAATTTAAACTTCATCCTAACATAATTTAATTTTATTATTAAAATTTTTTGCTTTTCCTTCTTATCATTCAGATATAATTTTTGTAAGGTTGAAATGTTAATGATAAAAGAGCAAAGGATTGTATGAATTATCTTATTCATTAGTTTAAACAACTTAGTTAGTTTTTTCTACTGACTTTAAGATTTAAAATAAACTATATATAATTTTAAGTTAACAAGTATTTATCATTCACAAAATTTGAGTTAAATTTTTTTTTAGGAAATTGAAGGTAGCGGTGTTCCACCATTGTTATCCAATAAGCAGAAAGATAATGAAGGAGGAGCGGATATAGAATGGGATGGATCAGGTATAAGTCCTGATGATGAAGATGGTGATGTTATGGAAGGTTCCGGAGCTCATATCGGTAAGAATTTTCATCTTCATCATCATCATTTAATAGTATATTGTTTAAAATAATGAAATAAAACTTATTTTCAAAGATAAAATAAATTTTCTACAATTATCAGATCATTGTGATATATCTTTTCAACAAATATTCTTGCTATTGTTTAAATTTATCATATTTTTTCCTCCCTTAATTGAACTAATTAATTAGATAAGAAAAAAAACAATCACACTTTGACAATTATCAGCAGTGTATTAAGCTTTTTTATCAGTAAAACTTTTTTTAAATCTAATATATTGCAATAATTGATATCTTTGACTAATTAATTAACTCTCTAATTTAAATTTCTATCATTGTTTTAATAGCTAAAGCATTATTGATTTTGTTCTTTTCCATTTTACAAATAGCAAATGAAAGTGTGAATTTTTGCAACAATTTTTCTTAAAATGTAGTAGATTAAGGTATTATTTCTTATTAGCGAATATCATTTCCTTTCATTAATTCATTATAAATTTACTTAGTTACTTAATTATTTCATTTGTTTTTATTTTCAAATTCTTGACCTCAATCAATCAATCAATCAATTTTACTAATTTTCTCCACTAAAAAAAATCATACCGTAAACTTTTATGATTTAAGAAGTGATGGATTATTTCGGCTAATTTACTATGAAAAGAAAGAAATTTGAGAGGGAGAGAGAGAGAGAGAGGGAGAGAGAGAGAGAGAAAGATGATTTAAAAGTAAATGTGATTGAAAAGGACAAAGGAATAGATCGTTTAGTGTATTCGTCGAATAATTTTTTCTTTTCCTACTTATTTTTATGTACAATTTCTTTTATTTTTTTTATCTAATGCATTATGATTAATGGTAATCTTTTAGAGAGAGAGAGAGAGAGAGAGAGAGAGAGGGAAAGAGAAAAAGAGAGAGGGAGAGAGTTTAGCTTATTCTCATAATATTTCCCTCCAAATTTCTACTTTAATTATTCCAATATAGATAAGAAAGGGAAAACATGCTCTTTGTCTTTTAGATCTTTGAATTAATCATTCTTTTCAAATTGTATTGGTATTAATTAATTTGGAGAAATAGATGGGAAGGGAAGGGATCGATCGTTCATTTAGAATTTAAAATTTCAAATTTTACTTTTCTTTTCTTACCTTCCACTTATTTATTTAATTAGGATATAAATATTTTAATTTTTAATTTATAAGCTTAAAATATTAGATATAATTTTACATTATACATAGCAATAAGTATTATGAAATAAAAACAGGACAATTAGATGAATTTTTGTTTTTCAAACAATCGTCATTTGTCTGGACGTAATTAGGATGTGGATTTTCTTATGGTGGCTGATTCTTCTATTGTATATCCTTCACAAAATGAATTAAATATAGAATTAATAAATTTAAAATTGATGTATATACGATTTTCATTACTACTTTTATAGACGAAGTTAGTGGCTTACCTGTAACTAGCACAACTTCTGTATATCCATTAAATACAACTCGATTAACTACTCAATATTCTTCGGTAAGTATTCAGTGTTTATTTCCATCATTATTGATTTATATTTTGCTTTAAAGTTTTAATTTTAACTGTCTTTAAAATTTTAAATAAAAAAAATATATTAACAAGGCAATTAAACACTATTGCAGTTCGATATTCATGAATTGGGAGTTGAATCAGATGAAGATGATGTAGCTATTGAAGAGATCCCAGCAACTACAGTAACTAGTATAACAGTAAAATCTTGGACAACAACATCCCGGAGGCCATTACAACCATTGACACCACTAATCACAGAACAAACAGCGCCGCCAACTGTATTCGAAGAGAAGCATAACATTCCATTTGACGCTTTGCTCAAACCTGGTGTTCTAGCTGGTAAGTGATAAATGATAAGAAAATAATCATTTGATTAATCATAACCATTTTATGAGTTTTACAATATATTTTACCCTTTTTTAATTTTCTTCATTTTTTTCTCAATTAGTTCAAATAATTATGTTTACCTTAAATTGCTCTCTTTTTGGTGACTCGCTTGAATTAAATAATCAAATTCAGCTAACAGTGTGGCTCTAATTAATAGTCTGATAATTAAGAGGCCTTTTGGTGGATTTTTAATTAAGCTATATAAAAGTAGCATATATATACATAGATGTGTATGTGTGTGTGTGTATATATATATATATATATATATAATATATACAAATTGGAGTTATCCGCTTCTCGCCTTCCCTGTTCGTTATCCGTTATAGTTGACAATATATATGTATATATACGAGATCGGCTCTAATGAACAGATAAATAGGATTGATTAGTTCTCGTTGAAGTGTTTTCGGATATGTGAAAGAAAGAGCAGAGAGTGGACAATGTCCGAGAAGAGTAAGACAGTCCGAAGAGGGAAATGATGTTTAGGCTGATTACACACTGTATGCGTTATTCAAGAAGGTTACAATCTATCTGATGATGACAACTACTGTTATAAACGAATAGATCGATCGTGATATAATATCATAAAAGAAGGTGAGGGGAGAGAGAAGTGGTCAGTTGAGGCAATTGTTATGATATCCTTTATTGCTGAGAAAAGTACCGAAAGGAAAAGGTAAAATTGATAGTAGCAATCACCTATAACTAATTTTATTTAGGGAGAATAGCTACAACAGCTATATTTTTGTTCTCTTCAAGAGATTTATATGAATCTAAATTGAATTCCTCAGGAAGTAAAATTATTTCCCGAATTATATTTAAATAAATTGATGATTTCAAGCATTCTTTTTTGATTGAATTTATTTCAACTAAATACTCTTTTATTGTTTGCTTTCAAGAAGAAGAAAGAAACGGATCGAAGAGATCTGTACAATGAACAGCAAACATTTAGCTTTTCAATTCACTTAGCTTACGTTTCAGTTCACTAAACTTATGTATGTAAATGTTTGTTACAGGTGACTGTTTCCAAAATATGCATATTAGAGGATAGAATAAATGGTTTTTATAAAAGAATGAAAACTTTGTTATTTTTTAAATATTACCTTCTTTGTGGTTTTATAAGCTGAATGTTAGATAATCCCATTTCTTTCTTTTTAATTTCAAATTTAGAATATATTAAGTAGGTGAAAAGATGAAGCGGAAAATGAACAGGAAATATAGATGAGATATTCTACGTAATAGTGCAATGAAATAGTATAGTGGATACCTTGTAAGTGATACGTGTAAAATTATCAGTCTGCTATTAATATACATAAGCATTTCTAATGTAGTATACTGCAAAAAACAAGCCTTTCAATAAGCAAAAAGGAAAATGCTGCCAAGTAGAAAAAAGGATAAGATTAGGAAAAAAGGGGATGATGGGAACAAAAATTTTTGAAAAAGGTCACATTGATCGTATCAAAAGAAATGAGAATGGCAGTTAAGGTCAAATACATCGCGAAAGAAAATAAAAGAAAGGTCTGAATCTTTAAATTCAATGGTTATTTGTATTGAATTTTTAATGGCTTTTATAGAAACAGTATAAATTCCATTGCGGTAATAACTTGATATGATGACCTTCGTACCAATTTGATCATTAATCCTATTTGATATCAAACATCCCAGGAGGGAGAGCTGGGTTGCAGGCTACTACTGATGATTGTATAAGTGACACATTATTAATGCCAATTTCATTTCCGATTAACGCTATGCTTTTGCATATATTTATATTTGAAAGTAATTTTCACATCTTTCTTGCTTTTATTTACATTCTCAATCCTATTCCATAATTTCACCATCACTTTATTTTATCGATTCAATTTGACCAACTACTAAGATCAATTGTCAATTTGATAATTTTTTTCAACAAATTTATGATGATAATTGTGGTCAGATTCGATGCTATCTTAAAGAATACCGAACGATTTATTAATGTAATTATAAGATTTGATCTATGTCATATAACATTAGGGTATCTAATGAATCCCTACAAACATTATATAATTCATTTGCTTTTAGCGACCGTTAATTTTATTGCGAAAGAAGTTTAGTCATATATTCCTTATCTTAAAATGTCCCTCCTTCGTATATATATTCATTTATTAGACGTTATTCATTCATTCTCATCCTAATTATCAATTCTTTCAATGACAGAGTGATGAAAATCAATCCTCTCTAATATACGAAATGATTAAATTGGGGTGAATGAGAAGGGTAAGGGATAGATGATAACTCAACGACCCATAAAATCTTTTCTGTCCCAATCCTTTCCTTCAACAAAATGTGCGATATATTGAACAGAAAAGAAAGCGCTTGCAAACACATCAATTTGTCTTGATGGTGACATGTCCTGTGATACAAAGAATTTACGCTTACCGTTGCATTTTCCACATTATATTACAAAAAAATGTAGCATCAAAAGTAAGATGAGAGAGAATAAATTTTAATCGATAACTTATGATTATCAAGAATGCGAATGAAATTATGATTATTTATATGAATTATTGTATATTATTAGATGTGACGAAATGATAAATGATAATTTTAATTTGAGAGAATAATTGTAAGGATACTTTTTTATGAAAGATTATCCGTAGAAATTCAGAGAATTTTTATGGATTTCAACAAAATTGTTGGATGATATGATTGAAAGATCGATGAAAGAAAGGAACCGAAACGTAAAAAGCGGATTAACCTAAGATTATTGAGAACTGTTTGTAAAGCGATTTATGAATGGATGGCATAATAATTTAAAAGAAGATAGAAAAGAGCGCTTCTAATTATATAACTCCGTTAATGAGTAGTTTAATTATCATAATAGTATTTAATTGCTCGCTAAATTGTTTATTTTATTTGTGAAATAAAACAGGGAAAATTGTAGTAGAAAGTTAGGATAAAAGTGAAAAAATAAGGGAATGAACTATTTCATTGAAATATTTAAGATTTTCTTTTGTTCACTTTTAATTTATCAAATAATTATTTATAAGGTTAATTTTATAATAGTTTACTGAGTAAATAAGTTATGGTAAATAAGAAATGATAAATGACTGCTATTTATGCTATCGTATCTACAAGAAGATTGTATTTACTCTTAGCTTGCTACTATTGATTTTTATTGAACAGAGAAAAATTTGAATGGGACGCTGTTGTTATTAGTGTAGCTTGAAAATGTTTTGATGATAGGAAGTGGTTACTTTAGAAATGAAGGAAAGAGGTTTGATGAAGAGGAAAGCTAATGACGGAATGGTCCGTAGGGGGCCATCATATTAGGGTAGAGGAAGGCTCTAAATTTAGTTGTGATGTGATTTTGTCCCATTTGAAGACAAATTAATGGAAGAATTAAAGGGAATGTATCATCATATTATCAATATCAGAAATAGGAAGAGAAAAAGTTACACTAAAAATTTATCACATTTTGATAAATAAAGGAAAATATTCAAACTTCAAATGAATAAGGATGATGTGGTGATAGTTTGAATCAAAATCAGCAAATAAGTTGAATTTTAAAAAAACTCTCGGAAATCTTAATTGATGAATATATATGATACTTATAATTAGTGATTCAACCCGTAAGCTTAACACTGAATATCAGAGTGATAGTTCAAATAGTATTATAAACGGTTTTAAATTATCACTATATCCATTTATCAATGTAGTCCTATAAATTAAAGTCAAAAAGTTATAAGAAATAGTTGATTAGCTCAATAATTTTTTCTATAGCAAATATATTGAAATGTTTTATTTCAGCCTTAATCGGTGTCATTGTGGTTGGTATTTTGGTATCAATTTTATTGGTAATGTTTGTTGTGTATCGGATGCGGAAGAAAGATGAAGGTAGCTATGCTTTGGATGAACCAAAACAGCCGCCGCATTATTCATATGCCTATCAAAAAGCACCAACAAAAGAATTTTATGCCTAATTATTATTATTATTATTAATTTTGTAGGAAAAATAAATTGTTTCATATAATATTCGGAATAATGCTACTCTTTCATCTATTTTCATCAAATGTTGCCATTGTAAAGTTGCATTCTTGAAGATGAAAAATGAGGGTTACATCAAATTGAATAATAAAGTAGCAATAATATTCTATTTATAGGAGAAATTTTTTTAAAGGTTTTAAATAGATTCTGAAATGCTTAGAATCAACCTTAGTATCATCTGATATGATTCAAAACTTATCAACTCTTTTTTTTTCGTTTGATATGTTGTTAATACATAGAATTGCTATGAAATATTTTCTATTTAAATACATTTTTTTAAAACAATTACCAATTTAATTTCAATTAGCACTTTCTCTGCTTGATAAAATTACCTGTTTTCTTTTAATTAAATGCTCCATTTATTTGCTACAGAAAAAGAAAAATTGAACTTAAAAATTGAGATTCTAAAAGAATGCATCCAATATTTGTTGATTTGATTGTTTGTTTATTTGTTTACTTTTCTAATTTTAATTAAACTCTTAAGTCAGTCATAACCGACGTGTACCTCATATAATTCTCATTTATCTTTTTCTTCATCTTTTTAAATGATATCATTTCACTGCTAACCACCCACGTACACTGCATATTCCTTTTGTTCTGTTACTGTTGTTAAATTTCTTAAATTTCTTTAAGGGTATAGTTTATATGACTTGTATGATTGATAACAAACCTTAAATCTTATCATCAATAATAAAACAAACAAAAAAGAACCGGTGAATTACTTAGTATTCCATCATTGAATTATAATGACGCAATATATTTGCGCCAAAAATTCAAATATCTTATACATTAATTAATTAAGATATCTGTTAACAGTTTGTTTTAAGATTTACCACTTGTATCATTTCTATTCTGTTTAATATGTCGCTCAGTCTATTGTCATTACTTCTAAACATTTAGCAAACTTGGAAGTATATTAGGAATGAAATAAGAATTAAATTCTATCATTGTTTACTATAATCTAAATAGATACTTGTAAGAAGCATAATTACAATGCTCAGAATGCAATATCTATCAAATCTCATCATTATCATTATCATTATCATTCACTATCATCATTATTATCATCATCATTGTGGATGTCATCATCGTGATCGTTAAATTATCATTTGTAAATATGAAATTTGTTTTGTTATCATAATGATAAGATTGTTTTTTTCCTTTTTTTCTTTGTTTTCTTTTTTATACAATGCCATTAGAAATATTTTATTGATTACATATAATATGAATAACTATAAGAAGAATGCTTTTAAATAATATTATAAGTTTAACAATTATATACAGACTGAGAAGTGATAGATTCATTTTATTGAAATCATTTGAATTTTTATTAAAACATAAATTGAATAATAGTATCTGTTGTAGATAGATAGATAGATATATGATAACAGAAAATTAAGTGAAAATATTCACATCGGAATAAAATAGCTTTCCGGTCATTATCACTGTTAATCATTATCATTCAAATAAATGATTAAAGGAAGAGAATGTGAAAATATGTGATAAAATCAGGACTCTTTTTCCAAGTAACTTTGATATTTCAATCAATTGAAGCATTAATGTTAGTGTTATAGTGGCGCCACCCGATAATAATTTATGATTGATTAAATTGTTGGTAGTGATTATGATAATGGACTGTTAATTGAACATCAACAGGAGGAAATGAGATAATAATCCCTAAATTACCTTTTAGTATATTTACATTACGTGAACAGGAATAGATGAGAATATGAAAATCATAACGGAAAGAGCAATAATTGATGAGAGATATAAAATACGGTAGTTTTAGGGAACTTATTTTATGCCAACTATCATTGTTGGTGAAAATTTCAACTTTTGCGAATGAATAAGAATATTAGCAAATTTGATGATTATTAATGTATTGTAGAAATTAGATCGGATTAAATCGGACATGGATTTTAAATTTCAATTAAATTGGTATGGTTAAAACAATGCGATTTTTGATAATTCGATTAAAACTTAGTAAGATTTAAGTTACGATGGAATATGAATAAATATCATTCATCACTTTCAGCCAGAAGTTTTATTCTGTATTATTATTATTAATGCCGGTGTTACTAATTAATCAGTAATTAACCAGTATTATTATTATTAATTATTACTACTATTATTAATTATTAATTTTAATTATTAGTCACTATTGTTACTAATTATTATTAATAATTGATTAATTAATGATTGAATTTTAGAAAATAAAGAAATATTCACAGCTATTTAGTATGATATACATAAAATACATTTTTATTGTCTGCTTTTATTGTTTATAATTTTATTTTTATTTTTTTCCAATTTCTCTTCTTCATTCCTTTCTCTTCTTTCAACGCTCTCTTCTTTGATGATGTATTATGTGTATTAATTAATTAATTAATTAATGATTGAATTCTTATTACATAGTGAAGAAAAAAATAAATAAATACTCTTAAATATTTTAAATCATACTTATCATTTTACCCTATCACAGGTCTCATATTTATATTTTCTCACGTGAAATCACGTGAAGAAAATGCGTGAAATCCCGTGAGTTAACTAATCCGAAGCGCAACTTAATAGAAAGATCGGCGAAAATCGAATATTACCATCTTAATCATAAAGCCTGATTTGATCGAAAAATAATCTCTCGGATATTTTAATCTCCCGAATATTTTTATACGCGAAATCTTAATGGTTAGACAATTGAAGATGAATCAATGGAAATGAAGTGTTACCATCTTCTAGTTGAGATCAGGTATGTTAGCAGAGTGTAAAGCGTTCCGTGCTAGTAATCTAACTTTCTAGTTTAATAGTTGTTCTTTTCTAGCTTTATAACGTCTTTAAGTTTTGCAGACAGAGGAAGAAAGTGGAAACGATGAGCTATTTATTACTCATTTCCAGTTATCATTCCATTATCTTATCTGTAATTTTAGCTAAGTTGTTTTGTTATCAAATACAATCGAAATCTCTTGAACGTACAGCGATACATTCTCTGATAATACTAGAATATTTTTGTATAAGGTCAAATATAAAGTTTACTAAGCTTGATTGTCTTAGAAAAATAAAACGTAGCTGTGTATCAGTCAATAACATGTAACAATAATATGTAAATAAATAACATGTAAATAAAACGTAGCTGTGTATCATTCAATTACATGCAACGTTTATTTTGTTGAAATGAATATCTTGGACGTGAAATACGTCAATTAAACACGTAAGTTCACTTGCATTGTAATTGTACTATATCTCATTGGAATTTGCATTCGGAATGCACCGGATGCAAATTTTGTATGTTCTTGTATCATTCCTACTGTGAAATACTAGGTCAAAGTTTAGAGATGAGTCATCTATTTTATACGCTTGTTACAGATAATCGTATCATTGCTCTTATTATCTTTCCTGACAATATTTGTTACACTTTAACCTGATTTCTTTGACGGATTTCTCATAAATTGACATTCCCGTTATGCGAATTTTATGCGAAATCCTCTTATGCGTTCCAATGATATCAGCGGAATATTATTTCCGGTGTATTTCAATTATTTTGAAATATTTTCTTTTTAGTATTATTAATTTTAACAATTATCAAATCATCAATTTTATTTAATTTATAGAAATAAATGAGTGCTGGTAGTATTCAAAGTGCTGAAGATTTAAAAGATAATGGCAATATTGCCTTTAAAAATGGTCAGTTAAATGAAGCAGTCGATTATTATACGGAAGCATTAGCGTTAAATCCGGAGAAAAATTTAAAATCAACAATATATCGAAATCGAGCTATGGTACGTTTACGAATGGATGATTTTGAAGGTTGTGAAATGGATGCTACTCAAGGTAATGAATTATGATAATATAGTGATTTTGAACATTTTAACGATGACATTATGTGATGAAATATTTTATGACAATTTTGGCTATTATTTGTTTGGAAAATTATATTTATTGTTTTTCTTTTTATTTATTAGAACTAGTATTACTTTTCTTTTTCATCTTTTTTAGCATTGGAATTTAATGGTGCTGATGCTAAAGCACTTTACAGACGGGCCTTGGCACGAGAAAAAATGGAAAATTATAATGGAGCTGTAACGGATGCCCGAAGTGCACTGAGATTGGAACCTAAAAATAGGCAGTTATTTCATTAGTTTGTAATGCAAGGAAAATACATTACGCAATAATAAATATATATTCATAATTGTCATTAGGCTGAAATCTCTATAAAGAAATCTATCAAAAAATTAGGTTAGATATTTGTTGAAAAAAGAATTGTAATACGTTTGGTTATCACTTACAGTTTATGTTAAGAAATATATTCTAGTATGTAAGAAAGTGTTTTTTTTTATTTATATACCTATAGCAGTGGATCGGATAACAAGAAAAATTGTCAAATTTTTATTAAATTGTAAAAAATTCTATCAAAAATTGTTCATTTTAAGGAGTATTATCGAAATGCTGCAACGAATATTGAAATTGAGTGAGGAGAAGAGAAAAACTGCAATGAATATGGAAAATCGTGTGAATGATATGAATAAGCTTGCATTTGGCGACGGTGATTTAGAACAAAGAGCCACTGTATGTTGACGTTTTCTTTTATCTGTTTTAAAAATTTATGCGTAATTTTACAGTACGAAATATAACTTTGAGAATCATAGGGAACATTTATTCGTCATCCTTAAAATGAGATTAGTTCGGGAGAATCTTGAGTGTGATATAGATTCTTTTTAAGTTTTTATCGTTTAGGTAAAATCGTTTTTAAGTATCAGTTATTTTGAAGGCAATGAATAATTTGTTGGTTTTGTCACGAGAATCTGAAACGGGCGCATCACATGTTTGGAATGATGGTAAAATTATAGAAACATTATTGAAAATAATTGATAGCAATTCCGCAAATGAAGCTATTATGGTAGCGACAGCTCGAGTTCTGGATGAGCTGGTGAAAAATAGCAATCGAGTAATCTTTTCTATACGTTCATTGTTTTTTTCGAAATCTTAAATTTACTTGCTGTGTAAATTTTTGAATATAAAATCACTTTCAACAAGGTAAGAAATGTCTAATGATTTAATACGGTTTTTTTAATGCGAAATCAAATGTGAAATATAGTAGTTTGACTTGAGCTATTTCCAAAAATAGGCTCACCTAAGTTCTTTTTGCTTTGAAAGTGTCTCTGAGCTGAGATTCCTGTAACTCTATAAAAAACAGTTTAGGTTTTTCCTAAATTTTCTAGTCTTTAAGGCAATGCATCTTGTGGAAAGTTTGGGGATACGTCGAATATGTCGACTTATGGAAAAATGTACATATCCACAGTATTTCGATGCATGCAGTAATATCATCCAGCGTTTATTCAATGCATTAGCTAAAATGAATCAGGAAAAGGAAATAAAGCCGGATCCCGAAATTTGTGAAGGTAAGTTAAGTTTACTAATAAACTTGATATTTAAGATTATTATGTACATGATCACCTCTTTCATTCATTCATTCATTCAGGTGTACATTTTACATCTTTCTAGCTATTTTCTTACTCGTACTTTTGATGTCCTTCGAAATCCAGACATTTTCAGCGAACAAAGTATATATTATACAATTAATTTTGGAACTGGAAGAAATGTTAACTGATGTAAATGTGGTAGCACCACTACGTGACATTACTATTGATCTTCTACTGAAAAATCTGATGCATATGGACGGTGGATTACCGCGTGGTTGGAGTTGGAGATTTGTCGAAGATAGAGGTTAACTTCCAAACTGTTATGCTAATTATAAGTTTTCAATGGTAACGTTTGATAAAACGATTTGACAGCTGGATTGTGGATCATTGTGTCACAGTGCTATGTGAAGTTGCTTCAAGTTATTTCAATATCAAAAAATCAAGTACTTTAAAAGATTACATTAACCAGATGGTCTTGATATTGGCTTAAAAAAAAATTGAAAGTAATAAGCAAAGAAAGGTTCCAGTTCAATGACATTTTTCTGACAAAAAATGAAATTCACTGAAATTTATTTCCATATTTTTTATGTCGACATAAACTGATTATTCTTCAACTCTATATATTCTTTTTTTTAGGTTCACAGTGCAAAACATATGAGTAATTTACGGACTTCAGTGTTGTTTTTTCAATACTTGATCTTAGAAATGAAAAGTTATGTTGACATGAAATGATATAGAGCAAAATTAATTTTTATAGCTATTGAGTTTGACAGGTCTCCTTAAATTGCTGCATGTCTCAACTCAATTACCAGAGCAATGTGATTATCCGGTTACTGCTGAAACTCGACAGCACTTGGCGATTTGTTTGACACGATTATATGATGATATGGTTTTCGATACACGGCGACAAATTTTCAAAGAAAGGGTGGATGTTTTCTTCAAGTGAGTAATTAGATCTGTATCTGTCATTTTATCAGAACAAAATCACTGAACTGTAGCTTTTCCAAGTATTGTGTATTTTTAATCACATAAATTAATAAGATCGTAAAATTGTAAAAAGTATGATTCTATGAAATATAAACACTTGGATATTAGTGGATATCTGAAATAAAATAATTATTAAAATGTTATGATGTTATGATTTTCATAATTAAAATGTTATATGATTGGCTTTTGCGAATTGGAAAAGCATATTTGTTTACTTTTCATCATTTTTCAGCAACCTGCTTAATGATATCGCTAAACCCGAAATAAAAGTGAAATTGGCATGCATGTTAACCACCTTATTGCAGGTAATTTTGTGCTTTTTAAAGAAATGATTATTTTGGCGTGTGATTTGTTTATACTTTTTATACTTTACCGCATATTTTTTTTTTGCTATCATTTCATCACTCGTTCGACTGAGTTGAAGTAAAATTCATTTGTTTAAATCGAATTTTTTTTTGATAAAATTAGCGTCGTTTTTCAGGGTCCTGTCGATGTTGGTTTAAATTTGGTAACAAATGATCAGATTACAGCGCTGATGCTTGAAATGGCCAGTAGCGATAATAGTTTGCAACAGAGCACAGCCGTTGAGCTAATTGTTCATACTGTTAGTAAACATGAACGAGCAACGACCATTTTAAAGGTTTGTTTATGTATTTTAGATCATGAGTAAAGAAAACAAAATAAAGAATCATTACTAGAGATGTGCATTACTGATCTTTTCGTAGCGTTTGCTACTAAAAATATATTTAAAGCACTTCATATCAGAATATTGCAACCATATTTTTGGGATGAAAAAAACTGCTTGGAAAAGGAATAATAATTATTTAATTTATGATTTTTAGTTCGGCATCCCAGTTCTGCGGAAGCTATATGCTTCAGAAGATTGTATGGTGAAAGTAAGAGCTTTGGTGGGTTTATGCAAATGCGCCTCAGCTGGAGGTGACGATACAGCAAAACAAACAATGCAAGAAGGTAGTACGCTGAAACTCGCTCAAACATGCAAAAAATTTCTATTGGATGTGGATCATTATTCAGTAGAAGTACGAAGGTGAGGAAAAAAATTAAATGTGTTACAAAATAACTCAAAACGTTATCCATAATTGTTGAAAATTTTATTTTTTTCTTGAAATTCTCTTAACACCAACGAAACAATACACTCCTAATAACAATGAGAAAAGTTTTTATTGAAAAGTTGAGGATCTTTTCTGATATTCACTTAATTGATAAAGACTTCAGATATGAAAAAAAAGAGATGTTAGAAAAGTATTTGTGAAAATGTCATCATATATTCCATTATTTTTTAGATTTGCATGTGAAGGATTGTCATATCTGACGCTAGATGCCGATGTAAAAGAATGGATTGTTGAAGATTCTTTGCTTCTTCAGGCATTACTTTGTCTTGCAAAAGTACGGTTTTTGTGTTGCGAAATAAAAAAATGATTGCTTAAATTTAACTGAAATTTTTAATGATATCTAAGAAATAGTACAATATCAGAAAACGTAGCGTTAATTGCTATATTTTGATTTTCACTACAACGTTTTTGTTTTATTAATTTCAGAGCGCTGGTTCTCTTTGTGTTTATGCTTTGGCTAGTATTTATGTAAATTTGACAAATTCTTATGAAAAACCAAAGATCGACGAAGAGCTTGTTAAACTTGCACAGGTAAGGTAATCTTATCGGCTTAAATTTTGCCCGTTTTTTCTAAAATATTAGTAGATTTTCGAATGTCGATCGTGTATTGGAAACTGATTCATTAGCTAATGAAATTACTTTAATGCATTTGTGGATTTAATTTATTGTTTAGCTAAGACATCTCTTGATTGGAACTTTGTATAAGTTCCGGAGCATATAGGAAGTATTTCCTCTTTTAATGAGATACGTTTGAATAATGAATTCTTATCTCTCGTACAAAGAAATAAATAGTAAATTTGTTTTTGCAAGAAGAAAGGAAAAATATCTGCCCTTAGAAAAGGATAGCAAATAAATTATTTCAAAAGAAAAATAAATAGCTAACAAATAACCAGTGAAATTGCAGTTTGCTAAACATCACGTTCCGGAAACGCACCCAAAAGATACGGATGATTATGTGGAACGACGAGTTCGTTTACTTGTAGCTGATGGAGCTACAACAGCATGCATAGCGATATCGAAAACCGAAAGCAAGAATGCGTTAGAATTGCTGGCTCGTGCTATGTTGGCTTTCACAGAGTTTTCGGACTTACGAGGACAAATTCTCAGTGAAGGTGGCGCTAAGGTAATTTTTCTACGAGATTTTCTCTGAATTTCGGCATGATAAAAATTTATTGAATTTTCTAAATTCTTGTGTTTGAACATAACTCCTAAATATTACTAGTTTCTTGTTTCTATTTTCTTTTGCTTTTCGTTTTTCTGTTTCTTTACTTATTTTCCTTTTTGCTGTACTAATTACCCTGAGAAATTATATGAAATTATAATATATTAATTTCCTTGCATTGATGATTTGCATGTTACTTTTCCAAATCTAGGGCGTTACTTTGAAACAGAGTCGTATGTATACATAATTTCCTTTATTTCAGCTTTGCCTACATTTATCGAAAAATGCGACGCCGGAGGGTAAAATCAAGGCAGCACATGCTATAGCAAGGCTAGGATCGGAGGTTACGATTTTCTTTTGTTTGATAAATAAATTGTAATGAAGAAATTTTACTGAGAATGTTTACATTTTCAGGTTGACCCCTCAGTGGCGTTTCCTGGACAGCGGGCATATGAAGTAATCCGTCCGTTGATCGAATTACTGCATCCAGATATTGAAGGAAGGCCAAACTACGATGCGCTATTGACACTAACCAATCTGGTAGCTTAATTTTCAGCGAGGATTAAATCAGATAAATTAAATAGTATGGCCATACTTACTATACTATTGGGCCACCATAAAAAGATGGTTGATGTTAAGTACTTTCTTGGCAATTTTCAACCGATCCATTGAAACTAACCAAAAGTTAATTATTTCTTTATATTAAATGATTATAAGAATTTTAGTTACCTAGCAAAATTACTCGTATTAAAATTGTATATAAAATCTTCGTCTAAAATCAGGTTTAAATATGGCTAAATTCAAATCAGTGAATATTTATTTTTTTGAATTTCATTCTTTGGATAACAAACTTGTGGATATTTCTTTGTAACTCAATGTAATCATCGACCATAGGCAAGCATGAGTGATTCGGTTCGTCGTCGGATGATCAAAGAACGAGTCGTGTCGAAAGCTGAAGAGTACTGGTTTATGACGGATCATGCACAACTTCGTGCAGCAGCTGCTGAATTGTTCCTTAATTTATTGTTCTGTGAAGATTTTTTCAACAAGATTGTTCGGGTTCATCTTTTATATTTTAATTTAAGGGTCATCCAACTACTATATCGGATAGATGCTCCAAGATATTAATTACAATAACTGAAAATGAAAATTGAATATCATTTAACCTCGTATGTCACTACGTTTGAGAATATCGTTATTTTTGTATTTATTAAAAGTAAATCGAGTCATATGCTCTGAATTTGTTTGGGAATTATTGATCTATTGTAACAGTAAAATAAAGGATTTTAGAAAGCGTAAATTCTATGTGAATTTTCAATTATAAAACTTGAAGTCATTCCAAGGACAAATTTTCAATGTTTCAGCCTGGCAATGATAGGTTGAAACTGTGGGTGCTGTATAGTGCAGAAGAGGATGAACGTCTAGCACTTGCATCATCTGCTGGTTTTGCAATTTTAACTGAAAATGAAGAAGCCTGCAAGCGAATCATTGATGAGATGAAAAGTTGGCCTGAGGTTTTGAACGACATTTGCATGTCTGGAAATGTTGAAATTCAACGCCGCGGTTTAATTGGGATTGCCAATATGGTGCAGTCATCGGAGAAAGTTGCTTGTGAAATTGTTGCTGTAAGTTTCGATATTTCTGACTATCAAATTTTTGATTATGTAATCGCCGGGACACATTTAACATATCTAATCCTTGGCTTTCTTGAGATTTCTGCGGGCATCTTTTTTCTTTTGGAAACTATTAGTCATAAGCTCTGGTAAAATAGCTTGGATTTGGACTGGATTTCGCAAAACTAGAATGTGAGAAATCATGAAAATATTTTCAATATAATTTAAATTTAAACTGATGACTTATGGCTCATTGCAACTGAATTTGCTGATGAAAAGTTGATTTTACTTTGTAGAGTGAGATCTTTCGTGTACTGATTGCTATAACAAAACTGAAAAACAAGGATCGTGAGCCAGCACAGAAAGAAGCACGTCGAGCTTTAGACGCAGCTGTAAAGTGGGGTATTATTCGGCCAACAGATCGTGAAATTTATGAACGAAATACAGGCATTTCTACAGTACCGGAAGAGTGATTTTTTTCACGAATATTCTTTTTAAATAATTATTTTGCAAGTATTTGTAATTATATTCACCTTATATAAATTATTACATTTGCACTGAGTGATGAAAATCGTATTTTGAAACGACATTTTCAAATTATCTTCATACCTCGTCTTGAGAATCGGATAAATATTTTTTATGACTTGATATATCTATTCTTCAATGATATGAATTCAGTTAATTTCGATTCTTTATACTTTCGACTGTTCGAAGTTTTTTTTGACAAATACATTTGTACTGCAGTTGTTAAATTATTTGCCTTCTTATATATTGGCCTTTGTTTGATATCTTTCCTAATATGGTTTAATTTCTGTTTAATAAAAATTTGAAGTCAAGGAAATTCTTACAAAACGATATCTAAAATCTAAGTAAGATAGCACTTTTTTCATAGAAACCGCTAAAGAACTCACCTGTATATTGGAGCGACAACGACTATATTCTGAAATTTGTCGAATTCTACCATCACTGCACTAAACTTTTTGACCAGAGTAAACGACATTTCAAATATTCATTTTTACACTTCATCCAAAATCAAGTGTGTCACTTTCTACCTGAATGTTGTTCGATTTCTCGATACATCCATTACTTCTCTGTGTTTATCAGTGATTTACATCTGCTCCCATTTTTTAGTTTCTTCTCAAGTTGCGGTTTGATAATTTTTCTCGTCTTGTATTTGAGTCTTCGTACGTAGTTTTCTCCATTACATTGGATCTTCGGAACAGTCAAATATAAGATTTGCATGCTTCTTTTTATTCTTTGAAATTTACTCCAGATTTCTAATAACCTGGCTGCGACCCGGTTCGAAAAGGAAGCGGTAAGTTAAGAGGTCATCCATACATTATAAGAAAAAAAACGATTTAAACAAATATTGGATGATTGAAAAATGGGAGAACCGTCAATGACACTGGAACATTCACCGATTTCCTGGTCCAGATCTATCATCAGTCTACTTATATGTTGGATGTGTATTCCGGATATCTTCAGCTTGTCAGGTCTGTTCTTCGAGAGTTGAAGAGCTGGTCATGTTTAAATATGGATGCTTAACGATGTTTTGTTAGAAAATTTTCTATTTTCGATTGAAAATGGTCGTTAATCCTCAATGATATTGGATATTTAGTGATTTTTAATTATTTGGCACTTAAAATCCTTCTTTCGGGCAAAATTTATAATGGAATTGTTTCACCAAATTTACTTTGATAGAAAAATAACTGCTTGGAAGAGTTTAATCGTAATCGAAAAGATTAAGGATTCCTTCCATCATTTCCATTGTCGATTCACGAAATTAATTGATCAGAAATAGGAAATGTTCTAATTTATAATATCGATTATCAGAAGCTTTACTCTAAGGCTTTAATTTAATCAGGTTATTTAATCCGTTTTGGAATTTCCACTTCAATTTCAGTAACTTAGAAATGATTTGTCAAGTTTCGAGTCAGTTTTCTCTCCTCATGTTATTGTTTCTGATGGTAATGCTCACAAAAGAATGTGATATCGAAATTCGATTAAAATCTAGAGCTGAAGAACCATTCCAATTTCATTTTTCGTCAGAATCTGCAAGATATTGGAGTGATCGAATTGTTGTAACAGGAAAAACTGTTATGAGATCGAATGGTTCACTCAGTAATTATCATGTTTTTCATGTTAGCTTTTCCTTTCTTGTTTTTGTCAATTTCTTTGTATAAAGGATGATTAAGATTTGTAGAAAGGCGAAAAATAGATAAGAAATGATATCAAGATAGCTATCAAGTTATTCAAGATTTCTGATAATTGCATATGACTTAATTATCCGGATTTGAAAGAAAGCACCGGTTATAAATGATCGCGGTGATAACTCTGACATTAATGCAAAAAACTGCATGTTTCCTTAAGATGATTGAAGTTACATTCTTCTATTATCAACAATACCTTATTGAGTGTTCAAGTAAGTTACTCATATTAAATATTGAAATTGATCAATCAATAAAATCCGATGATTTTTTTCTTCCAAATTTCTAAACATCAAAAATTTCATGCTTTTTTCCAGGTAAAAGGTTCACAATGTGGCGAGAAGAACTGGCATTTCTTTGTATGGGGATTGAAAGGGAAAAGTACTTTATTATCACCGATATGGAAAATTATTGATCATAAAAAATTAAAAATGGAAAGCTTACCGTTGGAAGCATTGAAGTTGCAACCATTTGTAGATGTCATTGTGAAGAAAAATTTAAAAGCATCCATTGGACCACGATTTGGTGTTTCATTATGTGAACATTGTTAAATTTAACAGAATTAATTAGTTACTTTGATTATCAAGTTTAAAGAAATTTTTGAAAGGATAATAACATAATATATTTTAAACAAATGAAAATTTGAATTTAATCACCAAAATTTTATCAATTTTTAAATTCAAAAGCTATGATATCATCTATGATAGCACTAACTATGCTAATTTTCATCGATACGAAGATTAAATTCTTTACAAACTTTCTACAATATTCTGTTTGGATATGGTTAATTAGTGAAATTTCTTCATTTTTTAATATTCTCTAAACTTCTTAAAAGCATTTCTAACACAAATACTACTATTTTCGCGCAATATAAATCCTAAAGATTAGATATTTTTCATGATATCCTGAATGTCTTTATGTGAATTTAAAAAAAAAATCGATATAATCCGTATATCGGTAATTTAGTATAATTCATACAATTACTGCAAATTATATTATTAGTACTGGGTGATTATTAGTACAACAGTATACTTGTTGATATCATTCTAACCATTTTTATCGCTATGCTTAATGATATTATTCCCGATGATAATTGATATTTGTACATAGTATCATTCTTTATGATTATAGTTTATAAATGATATATTAAAAGTAGTGGTTTTTCGAAGTAGCATATTTTGCAATTTAATCAATTACACACATGAAGTAATTGTTAATATTCTCTTTAATAATGAAAGATTATTAATTTTTAAATGCTTAATATAACAGAATGTTTATATTTTTATCAGCGATTTTGTTTTAGTCTTATAACAATAACAATCTTTAATTTTTGGATAATTTTCAACATAAGCAAAATTTTAGTGTAAAAAATAAATTTTTATGATTTAAATTTAGATATTTTTTTTGGAAAAGATATTTCCTGAGATACTTTGAAAAAAATATATTAAAACAATTAGTGATTATCGAAAATAAATAAGTGCACACAGGTGATTTTTAATGTTATTAAAAATTTCTTACCCTCATATTATCCACCATCATGAATTCGAACTCTCCGATCGAATCCAAACATTGGTAGAACATTACCATTACATCGGGACTAAATGGTTGGTTTCCGAAGTGTAAGTCATCATGCAATAGGTTGGATTATCGGTATACAACAAAATTCTTGCTTATTTTAATTGATTTCTTTCATTACAAATACATTGTTCGTGGACTCTATGAATGGACAGTGATTATGATTATCCTCAAAATCTCTTCAAATTTAATTTCAATGCTTTCTTAATAAGTATTATGCAGCGTGGTTGTATTGTTTAACATAATTAAAATTATTTATTCAGTATAGATTTACAAATCGCTGCGAAAAGTTATAGTATTCGTGTTGAAAAGCATAAAAGGTCAAATTTTACTTAACACGGTCATGGTGTTTATAATAATAAATAATTTATGAGAATGAAACAATTATATTAACTTAAATTCTTCTTTTTCATTCAAATTTTTAACTTCTCTTTTTGAATTAATATTTTGATGGAAAAATTCTCAACTTCACTCTTTTTTAGCTATAATAATAATATAATTTAATCGGATGAATGTGTACAAATATGACATTCATAATACATTTTTTAAATATGTTATCATATGATGGGTATATTGTGGTCATCAGTTTGAATTAAGTATTCTTCCAAGTTTTCAGAATCTTCTAACGATGTATTCTCAAATATTGGGAAACTGTCATTCCCGAATAAGTCATCTTCCATAAAATAAAAATTCATGAAATTTGTTTCTTCAGGTGCTGTCGAAGTTTGATTTGTAAATTTGCTTTCCACCATTTCAACGCAAGAACCCTAAATTATAAATAATATAGAACAACAAATTTCATGGAATACAAAGAAACTATAATTTCATTATATATGTTGTCATTCTCAAAAAGCTTTCAGGCCCGATTGCGGCCAAACTCTTAGTCATGCACGTTTAAGACAGTTCACCGATTTGCTCAACGATCAACGAGCTACAAAGTTCAGCGTCCGTGAATTACACCTCGTAATTATCATTAATTCATCGCTGTCGTTTTCTCTCAACTACATAAGGAATTCTAGACTACCCTCCTGAAAGTTCTCGGGACATTTTCTACTAAATAATTTTAGATATATGCAAACTAACTGTGTCATCTTGTTTGTCCATATTAAGTTTTAGTTCGTAACCCGGCTTACATTGACAGGTAACAGAAATCTCATTACAGTATGAATTTTCCACTTCACACTGCTCTTCAGCAATAACGGTATTCTTACAAAAACCACCAATAGTACCGTTGGTACGTTCGTCAACCGAATCCATAAAGACTATAGTTGTTAAATCGCGACATCTACCTGCTATATCGATAAATCCTGGAAAATCCAATAACGATATCAATGCAATAGAATACAGAAAAATCCATGTCATTATGTTATTTTCATCCTTCATCACAATATTTTTATGGATATGAAAACTCTTAAAGGTTTGTTCAAATAAACAATGGATGAAAATGAAATCATAAAATAATAAACTGACCATCTAACTATCAATTATTGATTGCATGGGTTTGTACAATGAAAGCTAATACTAAAACTTATCCAAATCCTATACTAATGAAATGAACTGATAGTATCGCCATTAGCCCACTATGATATGGGATGTACGACTAGCGTATTTTCAGATACCAAAGTAATATTCGTATTGCTAATTGAGTATACGGATTTTTTTATAAAAAATTTTTATTTTAAATGTTAGATCTATAGCAGCATCTTAAACTAATGATCTAATTCAAAGTTAATTGCATGGAATTCACCTAATTAAATAGATGATAATCAAATTTACATAAGAAGAAAAAAGAAATATGAACAAACCCTCAGGACAATGTGTTACACATTTTGATTGATGTATCAGTTTATTTCGTGGACAGACGCAATAATTTTGTTCACATCGCGCTTCGGCAACACGCATCGAACATTGATCGCTTTCCTTACAACCTTTTTGACCAAGATATAGTACTAGAACAAGTTAATTTGAATAAATAATGGATGAAAATTCTATCGGAAGAAAGAAATTGCAAGGCTTTGAAATAATAAAATTAGAAAACATATATGATAAAGATTTTCATCAATGTCATAATAATCTTAAATAAATTTTTTTAAAAAAGGAGAGAGAAACAATGATTACATCTCATGCATCGATCCTTTATTCTTGCTGTTCCTGGTTCACATTCTGTATTTTCAGCAGTATCGGCGGCTATTGCAGATATCATAGGGATGCTACCAGACATCCTTAAGCAACATTGATAACGATTGTATTGAACTGAATAGTGACATGAATACATTTGAGGACACATTCCTGGATTGCAACCATGAAAGTGGTTCCATTGATCCATCAAAGGTTGTGATCCCATTGGACATCCTGATCTATCTTCCACTGCAAATTTTTTCATAATTTCAGAAGTAGTTTGATCATAAGATTGAAAACTAGTTAAATGCACAACAGTGAAAATTACACGAGAAGTTAAGTAGAAAATGGAAGATGCTACTGAATTAAAATTAAATTTAAAGCATTGTAACGATTGCCATTTATTTCTTTAAAATGATCTAATTTAGAAAAATTTATTGGTAATTTTCTTACTTTTCACGAAAAAGGAAGTATACTTAAATTGACTGAACTGAAATGATATAAATAGTTTTTTGAAAAATTTTTAAAAAAACAAAATACCTATTGGTACGCGTTGTCTGTGACGTTGGAATGAAATTTCCGATTGACCAATAAAGGCTGTATCGATCGGTGCGCAACAATACGAGTTCATTTTTTCGGCACTATAAATACACATGTACTGAGCAACTGTAGGACATGGTTGCAAAGCCATGTGGCAAGTTCGAGGTTCTTCATTTGCATATCGAACATATGGTATTTGGCCCATTGGACAATATCCTTTAACAAATCGTTTAATTAATTACAATACGAAAAAAAAAGGAAACATTTTTTACATTAATGGAGTGGAAAATTTTTATCAAAACTAATGCTCAGTTATCATACAATTATTAAGGTAATCAATTAACTACAAGTATGAGAATCGAATTGCTTTAGGATATGTAAGTTCTATAAATAGAATGATTTTCGTTGAATAAATCGTTTAATATAAACATTTAACATGATCATATAAGTAATCCAAGCAATATTCGTCATGTTTGTCATAAATATATGATCAAAATTTCGTCACGTATGTTTTACGTTAAAATAAAAAAGCTCGAGTAATTCGAATCATTCTTTATCGGTCATTTTCCGTTCTGTTTCTAGAAAATGAAATGAAGTAACCAGAATAACGGCTATTTAAATGTCCCGAAGTGCAGCATAAGTAATAGCCCATTATTGAGCTTTCCTGACATTGATAACCAGGTGGACAATTATTTATCATAGGTAAACAAGCTTGTGGTTCACTCGATACTGAAAAATAAATCCTATTTTGCATTCTTTCTCTCTTTTCTCCTAAATTTACAATTCTTTTTTTGTTTTTTATTTTATTTCTTCAAATCATATACAATAATAATAAACTATGAGAATATAAAATTAAATTTTCAAAAAAAGCATTTTAGGTTTTGAGTAAAATTGGAATATGAGAAGAGATTAGTAAAATACCTGGTTCAATGTAAGCGATGCCATTAGTACACATTGGTATCGGAGAAAGTGATACGGAGCAACAGAGATGTACTGTGTGAACTGTTGATCTGATACAAGCGTAACCGGTTGGACAACGATTCGATCTAGCCGGACATGCTAATGGATGATTTGCATAAAGATATGGTGAAGCACCACTGGGACATTCTGCTTCTGATGCAAGATCCAAGCAACAGTATGTAGCAGAACCATATGCAGATAGATGACAACTAGATAAAAAATATTTTTTTAACAATACAGAATATATCAAAGCGAAAATTTATCGTTAATCAAAATGCGATTAAATTAACTCGCCTTTTTTTTTCGGTTCAAAGAATAGCAGAAATAATTCGACTGTCATTTGTCACTAGTTATAAGGAGAAACAATTTAGCTAGTAAATCATTGAATGTATTGACCTGTAACCTGGTGGACAGCTATTGAAATTTACGTTACATGTCTGTGGAATCGACGAACCGGGCGTCATATAGGCTTTACGTCCATTAGCACATTCATATGGTGAAACCGGACAACAATAATATAAGCCACCAGATTTAGCTACTTGGCAATTAAATTTATTAGGACATTGACCACGGCGTGATGTTAAACACTGTCTTGGTGTTCGTGAACCTGTAAATATGATATGCCGATCAACATTATTTGTTACCTTTTAGGTATATCTAATTTTATGACATATTATCATTGAAATTTTACTCTTTTAATGAGGCCTATAGAGCTATTGTAATATTTAAATTAGAAAATTATAATTTGATTTAATGATGCAATAATCAAAATAGGGGCTTAAAATTAAAAAATCAAAAATGTTTACCGGGATCATAAAAGGGTGTTCGACCGTTTGAGCATAACGGTGTGATCAGATTGGTTCGTGAGAATTTTGATGCTGCAGCTGGAAGTGAAGCAAATTTGCAACATATACTAACAGTAGGTACGGATGATATCAAGCATGCCGTGTCTTTTGGACATGCGTCCAATTCCGGACCGCAAATCTGTGCCTGAACAATAAAATAAATTTGCAACATGCATTAACTAATAGATATTAATGATTATAATTGTAAACAAGAGTAGACATTGTACATCCGTTTAGCTAGAACTGTTTGAATATCAAATATTTCCGCCTGGTCAGGCAGTTAACCGGTAGCGGATTTCAGATATTAAACCGTAACTTCCAATAATTTTAATAATACAACGAGTGTGAGAATTTTATGACCATTGGTACCTAAAGCTTATTATAACATATCCATATATATTATATATTATTTCCAAAAGTCTAATCTTACAATGATTTTTAGAATGCAAGAAGCTGTCAAGAATTCAGAAAATATCTTCTACTTCATTTCATCTAGAACTGACATTTTTAAACTGACATACTTTTTGTCCGTAAATAAAATGTATCCTTCCTTTCAGACATTGTGGTTTCGTTTTGCAACATAAACCTTCCGTTGAAGGTAAACGATTCAAGCAAACATATTCTTTGGGACATACATCGTCACCATTTATTTGACAATGTTGACCATTTGTTGGAAGATTTTCTGGGCAGTCAATATCGGAATTTGAACCCGTATCCAATGATTTACTGCTCGATAGTAGGCAGCACATATAAAACCCTCTTACTGAGCTAAAATTCAACCACAATTTATTGTACGTTTTTATTTACTAATTATTTTAACTTGTTTGTCTTTCTCCTTTTGGGTTCAATTTTCAGAATTTCTGAACAATTTCTATCACAGTATCGGATACGATCCAAAGTGGATACTTATATTGCCATAATATCATCTCAGATATTTTATCACTTTAAAAGTTAGAGATTGTATTTAAAGTTAGAAATTCTTAAATTTCAGGCTTAAATATATCTGTATTCTAATAAATGAGAATATACATAATGAATTTTAACCTTTCCACACATTCCGATGATAATGGACAGTTTTCTCTGTTCGGTTGACAGCTTACTGTTGAATCGGAACCTACAAAAACAAAAAAGAAAATAAATAAAAATTAACTTCTTGAACTTTGTTAAAGGAGAGAAATGATTCACCCGGAATGATATATGGTTTACGTTGTTCGGGACACATTGCTTCAGTTTTACAACAAATCGGAATATTTTTTGTTGATGGAACACATGAAGATAATGATGGACATGAACCCATAACGTTCAATTTACACATCTAAATATGTCAATATTAAAATCAATTATATCTTGTTAATAGTCATTATCATCACACAAAAATCATTATCATCAAGCAACCCTATATTCTCATACTTTCGTTTGGTACTTCTTAAATTGTGTAATAAAAGAAAATACCATGTTGACCATAAATTAATCCTATGATAATGATATGATACCTATGATAATGCTAATACCAATAATTAGACATAGAAACTTCAAGAATGAAATATAGTAAATAGAAAAACCTGAGGTAATTTATTCCCATCCGATATATACGGTAACATTCCTAATGGACATTGTCCAAATCTGATAGATCCATTAATGCAATGCATTATACATGCTTCCTGACTTGTAAAACGATTTGCAGTACCATCACAACCTATAATTCATTCCAAATTATACAATACAGAAAAGTAATATCTATCATGAAATCGAAGATTATTGTCTAATCAATTTTCTTTCTGTTATTAAATTTATTTCAAAACCAAAATCTTACATACCCAAATACATGAATTGCATGCAATTTTCAGTAATTGCATTATAATACCATGCTGTACGTTGCATGCTATTTGCACATGAACGCCCACTGCTCATTGATACCGTACATGCAAATTCTGTAACAGTTTTAAGATTTATACTAGCGATTCATTTTATTATCCTTTTCAGGAAATTATTATGATAATTACATTTGCTTTAATTATTTATAACTGATTTTTAGGAATAGCAGAGAGTATATTTTAGACTAACCGGATGTTGGACAACAGTACTGTTTAGCGTTGCAATTATATCCGGAAGGACATGCCATAGATGTTGTACATTTTTGTAATCGTCCACTTGGATCTTTCAATGGAGCGCTACCGTCACATACTGTGGTACATTATGATAAAATCTTATTATCACAAAAAATTATTATAATAATTTATGATAATAAAATGATAACAATTTTTTGTTGGAAATTATACGGTTAGTAATATTTATATTAATTTTTAATTCTATTAATTACCTTTATCAAGGTTAGCTAGGCAAAAATTTTCACAGTCTACTTTACTGCGAAAATTGTTACTGTTGCCAGAACATCCGAAATATTCAAATGGTCGACATTGTTGTATTGTTTGATCGAAATAATATCGATGAATAGCTATTCTTCGACCGAAACAATTTGTTCCAGCAGACGGTATTTCCTTACATACAATTTCTATAAATTTCATATTTTTCTGTCTTCTCAAAAGTAATTATTATCATATTAATTATTATCATATTTCGGTGATTGTAGCTTATTCACAGCATGTTAAAATATAACAACATATTTCCCTGAAAATTTTGACCTATTAGAAAAAAAGCATTTTTGACATGACCCTTAAAGTTTGATATGCCAGGTCAATAATTATGTAACAGTTGATAGATTAAAATGTAAAAATAAACCGATTTCGTTGTTTGTTATTTTAAAAATCAATGATTTATTATCTAATATGCGAACGAAAATTAATATATCTGTTGAATATGATTGTAAATTATCCGATATAAATTGGATAATACATAAATGTTTGTTTAAGTTATTGAACCTGGATTAGGGCAACATATAGATACAGGTCCAAAAATTGGCTCACGACAGGTATATTGCTTAGGACAAGTACTTGGCATATACGGTGAGCATGCAGCATTTAATGCATCCATACGGTATGCTATTCCGGTTTCACATTGCTCTGAAATGAATGAATGAACTAAACCAAACTGAAAATTTTGTTTACTTTTAAATTTCACTTCTCATACCATTCTTTTCCATACCTCATACCAGTTAGTTCTGATGCACATTCTTAAACAATCCAAATAGTATATTAAATCGATTAAAGTAAACATATTACATCACATATTACATCATATATTCCATATTACATCAAATATTTCAAGTTCAATATCATTATTTTATCTTCAATTAGCTAATGTCCATCATTATTCATCGATTATCTTTATCATAATTTCTAATTATCTTTATTAGTAATCACCTTTATTCTTTTTTGTTCTTATTTTTGATTTACTGCAAATTATTAAGGATAATTAAAATTTACGAGCAAGACAAAATCCGTGACATTGATCCAAACTGAGGAAATTATTATCGTTACCGCCACAACCGCTGTAATTAAAGGATCGACAAGTGCCTGTTTTAGTATCGAAATAAAACCGTATAACAGATAATTCCAATTTTTTATGCCAACAATTACCGATTTCACGTGGTAACGTGCAAACACTTTCTGAAATTAGTAGTAGCAGTGATAATTAAAGATATGATTAAATTCTCACAAAAGTTATCATGTTTTGTTGATCCTAATATGCATTTATTAATTAATCTATCATAATAGAGAATTTAAATCTTTGTTTGAATTTACATATATTTTGAATTGATTAGTCTTATGACACCACTCTTCTGATCTTTTCCAAATTCCATATTTTCATTCATTTCTTTTACTTAGATGAAGGTTTGGCTCAATTGAAGAATTGCTTTGGGATCAAAATATTTAAAGACTATAGCAAAACAAAAGAAATAATCAATTGTAATCAATAAAGTATATGACTAAGTAAAGTCTGATAAGTTGTTGGAAATAATTATAATTGGTTGAAAATATAATGAAATCTTTTACAAGAACACCGAAATTGAATTTATCACAAGCGCCTTTAGTATTATCATCAATTATTATTAATGAATTTTTAGATATTACCATGTGATGGACAGCAGTAATTTTTATTCCCGTTTGTTACACAAAAGTATCCGTCACGACATGGTAATTTCTCAGAACATTCCTCAGCGCCATTATTTACAGCTTCACCAGCCGGACAGAAATCTAAATTTATTCATCAAAATTATAATTTCGGTATAATTTTTGGTTCACATTATGAATAAAAAATTATTCTTAATTTTTCGGGAAATCCTTTAATTTCACTCAACTAAAAACCTTTCTCTTTTTTCTCAAAAGAAAATGTTAGAAAAATTATTTGAACTTACTATTTGGCGTTGAATTTTTCGTTGAGCAACAAATCGATCGATCAAAAATGGTACTTCGAATGCAAGCAAAACCATTTTGACATAAACTTAAAAATAATATAAATTCACTGTGAATTTATATTTAGCAATTTAATAATCTATTTGTTTTTTTCTTCTGTTCTTATTTTAATTAATTATTATTATTTTAATTATTATTGAATAATTAGAAAATGTTAATTTTAATTATTATTGAATAATTAGAAAATGTTAATTTTAATTATTATTTTAATTATTATTGAATAATTAGAAAATGCTTTTCTAAAATTTTTTCTATTACTTATTTATTGTTATGTTGAAATTAAAAAAAAATTTTTAAACATTACTGAAAAATATACTTTGCTGATCTAATGGAACAGGAAACAAAGGAACCAGTAATGGGATTGATTTGTGCAGCAGAATTTTGTGGACAACCGAAATTTTTACCACAACATCGGGATATTGAATGATCTGCGTTAATATGTCGTACTACGGTACACGTGAAACCTGTTGGACATGAATTGCCGAAAGTTAATGAGCAACTTAGAGGCTTTCCATTCGTTATCTGCAATGCCGAACAAAATTTTTTTATCATCCTTACCTTCATTAATAATAGAAAAAGAAAGTATGCTAGAGTTTATTAGATTATCAGAAAAGAATCTTGAACTTATAAACTTTACTAAAGTAATTAAAAAAATTAGAGTTGTTTAAATCCTTTTATACTCTATTCGTATTTCTGCTTAGCAATAATTAAATAGTTTTGCTATTGTTCGATTTAATAGAGATATTGAACGTGTGATACCTCAAGATAAGTCACTTGATTATCCGGACAATAGTCTTCTTCATTATCTTCTTTCATTTCGCTTCCACCTTGACAACAATATGCGGTACCCGTTTTTGCATATATCGTACAAACATATCCTTATAAGTTATAAGTAATAATTATAATAAGGAATAGATTATGAGAGATGTGTTAATAATCAAATGCTAACGTTGAATTCCTACAAAAGAATTAAAAAAATGAGATAAAGAGTATGAAAATATCGTTGGATTAACGAATAAGTTGTTATAAATTACTAACTAAATAAGTAGTAAAATAGTTAAAGTAAATTAAAATAACTAACCATCTGGACAGCTAATAACCGATGGGTTACAAATAACTGGAGAACTTAAACGAGTCATTGGGATGCCACCTCCACAAAGATCGTCTAAAATATAACTCATCAAATTGTTAATTAGTTATATAATAAAGAATGATTCTAATACCATTTAAAATCTATTCATCTATCATATGTTTATTCAGCTTTTTGGTATATTACCATTACTAACTTCATTGTACTAATTTACCAATCATTCGTATTTATTGATTAGCTTAGTCATAACATGATAATTATCATCTTGACGTGGATTTTTGAAAATGACTAATGATATAATTAAAAATTTCTAATTTAATTTTTATACATACATGTTATGCATGACAAGTGGACATCAAAATATTTGAATGGATCCTATATATTTTACATATTTTTATACAGAAAAAGAAATTCGCCACACATGCAATAATTTCAGCTTTTTTCCTTATACATTAATACAACTGAAATTTACTTTATTTAATTTAAATTGTCGCGATATAGTTTTAGTATCACTTTAAATTGATTCTGATAATATTATGAATTATGTGAAATTGATTCTGATAATATTTTGAATATTATGAATTATGTATTCTCATAAATTTATAAGTATTACACAATGATCTTTTCATATATCTGTTAGGTTTGATTTTAAAGAAATAAAATATGCCACTGAATGTAAGTATGGTATTAGAATTGTGTTGCTTTCGCGTTTATCTTACCGGGTGCTTGAAATTGAGGTAATAAGAATGGATCGATGTCATCTGCTAATTGTGATTCATTTACACATTCCAATAATGTTGCATTAAAGCTCTTATCATCTGGACATTTGCGCTTTAAAAATTGCCTGCAAAACAAATAGGAGGAAGAAATTTGTGTAGTTCAAAAGAACTGTAGTATTATATGAGGGTATTAAATATTAATTGATCATAGTGTTAATCTGTGGAATTACTATTAGTACATAATAAATAATCGTAATCATTGTAATATGTATTTTTTACTATTATTTTTTCTTTTATTCCATAAACAAAATCTTTAAGGTGTTAACTTGAAAATATTAAAAAAAGATTTATGATTAAAAATTGATTAATTACCCATTAGCATCACACTGGAAGTATGTTCTGCTATCCAAAGGATTTGCCTTTTTGATATTCACATCTGGCTTACATTCAAAAGTTGCGGAAAAGTCAGCCGATGATATTCTCAGTAAATATGCCTAAATATGCCATACGAAAATATAAGTATTTAGGTTATTATAATAAATGGATTATTTTTATTTTATTATTTTTTGCATTTGATTCTTTCTATAAGAATATATCGTAAATGGAATATTTTCCAAAAGAAAAGATTACTACAAATCATTGAAACAATACGATATATTAGTAATTAATTAGTGCTTAACTTTCAAATCATTAAGTAAGTTTGAATTCGGTTAATAATTAATATTGTAGAATATTTTACAAATGTTGCTGTTAATAGGAAATTAATAATATCATCATTATCATCAGAAGATAATATATCAAGAGGAATATTCTGATGGATGAAAACGAAAAAAGCTGAAAAGTTAATGAATATTATGATATGAATGATAATAAAACTTACTGATGAAATGATAAGATGAAGTATTAGCATGATAAGTGATAGCTATAGCAATCAATGGATAAATGGGCAAGCAGACATAAATACACACACCCTCAGTACGAAACAATAACGTATAATTGGACTGACTGTATTGACCGATACAACTTTTCTAAATCGTACAAATTTACGTTTGTGTGCATACCGTGTAGCTCCCCTCTATAACTAATCAAACTAGTCTTTATGCTATCCAATTTATATTTTGAGGTAATTTTTAAGTTATCGTACATATACACACCTACACATACCCAGACAGACAGAAACACAGATACACACAGATATACACATACATGCAAATGTACATATCGAAAATTTTCGATACATTGAAGTGACATCCACTACGACAATCCACCATTCTATTAACTATTGCTACTACTTCTACTACAGTCACTAATGTTGGTTGTCTGTTTGAGTTCTAACAAAACAACGATTTCACGAGAAGGATAATTGAGAATGATTAAAGTAAAAAAAGTGAAATGAAATGATTCATTAATTAAAGAGAAAAAATTAAGTGTTCATTTCATTTTGAATAATTGAACTTTCAATTATAAAATGGTTCATTTCATTTAAATTTTCTTTTCACTTTAGTATTTTGAAATATTTTATATAAACGTTTACGAATTCTTTTATTATATAGTTTATAGGAAGAAAGGAAGGAAGAGTTACAGTATATTTTAAAATACGATAAAAAATATGAAAAAATAATTGACTGAATTATTGGATATATTAAAACTAATAACTTAACGAAATATTGAAACATTTTAAGAATGATTACAAACAATTTGAATTTGCAGTTTAACATACTTTAAATTTGAGAAACGATAATTTGTATTAAATCACATTTTTGCTTCTTTCTGTTTTAAAAAATTTTCCTCCAGAAATTACCGGAAATTTTGAAAGACATAATTTTATTTCGTTCACAAGTTCAACTATTCCATTTCATTCAAATTACAAAAATACAAGTTCAACTATTCCATTTCATTCAAATTTTTTGTTATCAATTTCCACCAGTACGTATAAGTTATGTTGTAATCAAAATTAAAGAATAGAAATTACATCAAATTGTTGTAAATTTTTAGAAAAAAATTCTACCTTCAATAATTGAAGTTAACATCGAAGCTTAAGCTATTTAATTGTAAAATAGCTCTAATTAATGCTTGAGAATTATTGAGATAATCTAAACTACGAAAGAGTTGAATGCTAAATAATTCATAAAGAAATCTTTTATTCCTTTAATTAATATGGATCTATATTCTAATACTTCTTAACATCAATTGAATTGGAAGATAGAAAGAGAGAATTGAAATGAAAGAAATTAAATAATTTCAAAATAAATTTAAGATATACTGTTTTCAGAAAACAAATTAAACTAAGCTAAGGAATGAAAAGTATGCATCATTTTTTGTTAGTAAGCAAAATTTGCAGGAACTCTTCTAAAAAAATGTTAACATATTTCATTACCATTTTAAAAACAGTATCACAATGACAGTCACTCATTCAACATTATCATTTTACTTACTACCAGTAAAGAATGGACGTAATGCTAAAGAACTCTTCATGATCAATAACTTTTTAACTTCGCGTAATTATTCGAACTTTTCTCATTTATACTTATACCATAATTCTTAAGTAATAATTATAAACAAAAAGAAAACAAACTTATATAATAATTGGCATCATTTGTCAATACTTGACCATATTATTGTATAATTCGAATTTGTTTAAAACCATTTTATGTTTCATAAGAAACTAATTGAAACTTCACTTTTATTTCTGCCGCCGTGCAGAAATAAAATATTAAAGCGGTAAAAAGTTTCTTCAAATTATCAGTAATACTAAAAAAAATTAATTAATATGAAACATTAATAGAATAGCATGCAAAGGTGAAAGTAAAAAAGAAAGTGAAGGTAGAAATTAGTTAATGATAAAATAGTATTGAAAAGGTAAAACGAAACGTTATGATGAAAAGAAGTTCAAGATATACTGTGTTTGCAGAAAAGCTAAGGAATGAAAATAACGAATAACACATGCAATATTTCGTATTAGGAAAAAATAAATTTTTGGATTAATACAACTTCTCTATTTTTAGTATCCATTTATTCCTTCGATTTCTACATGCATTTTGCATTTTTAGCAGAACCAATTTAATTTTTTGATTATTCCATCATCGTGTATTCTTGTTTATAATGTTTCCGCAGTTGTATCACTACAATATACGATCAATCATCTCGGATCGATTCTGCTTATCAGAATTGGTTTTCATATTCTGTAACCAAATTTACATCTAATATGTTTGGATTTACTCAAAGAGCTAAATGACCCGGCTGTAAAAAAATTTCTAGATATGGAGAAGAGGATAACAATAGTCTAAATCCTCTTTTACATCAATATTTGTTTTGATTTTTTGGTCATCCAGAAGTTTATGCTATTAGACTTAAATTTGAGTGAACAACTTGAAAAGTGGGTACATTGAATTTAATCAGTTATTTATTTGACGTATGTTTTTCGCTTTATTCAGCATGCTGTTGTTGGACATACAGTAGAATGTCAATCAATTTATGCGCTACAATCAGTGAGAACGAAGGAACGTTTAAGATTACATCTGAGTTCAGTGTATACGTGTGTTTAGACATTTACTTAATTATATTTTTGTTTTCTTCTAATTATTTAAATTTTTTCAAGACCTCCTCGGAATCATATAATTACAATTTATGAATAATCAACACAATTGCAAATACTAATAAATCAATGATAATGCCATTCGTGAATCAATGATAAATTAATGATAATGCCATTCGTTGTCATGTTTTTTTTTTTAATCAAAACATTACACTGATTGTGAAATATTACAATTTGATATTTTGATACCATCCAACTTATGATTACAGCCGTTAAAACAAATAGTTATGGGACAGAAAATAAATGTGTCAAATGTTTTTTGCAAAACTCTAAAACAAATACCGCTTTATTAAAAGAACACAAATTAAATATTCATATTTTCTTCCTGGTCTAAATATGGGTACAGTAAGGATAAAGTTGTTAAATTACAAAAAAAACAAAAGAACATAGATGGACCGATTGAATTTAGGAAAAGGAAAACAACGATTAAGATTAGACAACCTATTGACGATCAATAATAGCAATCAAATTTGAACATCGTATATTTCCTGTCTATATGCTTCCTCCTATATCATAACCATGATTGCACAAGATTCATAATTGATTGTTCGATTTTATTATGTTGTAAGCATCTCCAAATTCTGCATTAATTTCTTCAATTACGAAATAATTGATTCCTTAGAGCTAATATCTGGAATTATTTCTCCTAGTTAAATTCTCGTCATATGTACTACTGTCCACATCAGTGACAGTTAGATGGGATCAGTGAATATAAATTAAATGAAATTTATAGCCCTTCTAATTTTTCGATACAAGCAATGTTTGATTGCATCATCTGTTTCATTCCACAGAATTCTACCTTGTTGTACATTTTCTTCTTTAAACTGTGCAATCTTCTAAACCATCAAAATGATCACAAACACCTCTGTCTTTCATCATAGAAGGATATTTCGCTTTTCATTAGCAAAAAGTTTGTCTTTAATTGGCATTTAACTCCTAACATCATCCATAGCCATACATTATTTGTCATCGATTTGCTTGGAGAAATTTGATTGAACGAAATTCTGCTTATTTTTTTTTGATTATCTAAAACTCTGCAGAATTGTGAAAATGTTGCGCAAGTATTTGTTTGTTTGTTTGTTCAGAAATTATTGATAATAATCTGAGGAATGCTTTAGTACGTGCCGTTCGAGTGACATTGCTGCATCTTATGGCTGGTGGGTGGCATCTAGTATCGTATATGAGCAATTCGAGTATGCATAGTTTTTTCATCAAAATTAATTTCTATTGAAATGAATGACGTTCTCAAACAAATCCTTTATTAAATTATTTCTACTCAAACGAATAGCGCTCGATAATAGACAAATATAAATATAAAACCGGAAGACAAAAATTGTTGGTTAAATTAAGATTTATAAAATGAGCTTATAAGGTGATGTACTAGTTAAGGCTTATAAAAGTATTGTTTGATAAGGCTTATAAAAGCAATAATAGTAATTTTTTTCTAACTATTTAAACTTCAAGATCTTCTCAAAATCATATAATTACAATTTATCAATAATCAACATAGCTGCAAATGCCGGCCATTCAGCCAAAACTCGTTGGGTCATTCAGTGATCTTTTAAATATCTTTTACAGCTGGACTGTTCAGTCACCTTTTTACAGCTGGTTCAATTCAGTCATCTGTCCTGCAAACTTAAAAGACAGTAATAATGAAAAAAGCATTTTTCTGCTTCATGATATTGAACTTCAGCAAATTTCGATCGGTTTTCATCAGCAAAATGTATCTCTCTACTATCAATATAATCAATGCATAAGCCTGATTTTATTGCCAACAATTATCTGCTGATCCTTCGTCATGTTCCTTATTGCCTGGATAGTTGAAGCTGATTCCTTGTCAATGCTTCTTCCATAGAAACATTGATGACTCTGTTTCCCATAGTAAATCCTAAAATTAGGTTAAGCAAAAATTAAATGTTTACCTTTTCAGCTGGGATATAAGACCATAAATTAGCTAATAAGGATTTTCTGTATAAAGAATAAAATAAAGAATAAAATGCTGAAAATCAAGAGTACTTGAAGAACGGCTGTTAATAAACGGTGCGAACGAAGAAAAGCATTCAAATGCTTTTATGGCTGAAACATTGCCAATCTACATTTGCATAGAAGAATAATAGATTTTGCAATGATTCAACAGAAGCATTGGTGAACAGAAGCGCTGTGGATAAGATAGGATGTGAAGCAATGGCTGGTAATAATTGTTGATAATACTTCTAGCATATTTGTACTCTGCATAAATATACCTTTTCTGCCCGCGAAAAATTCCTCCGTAATTTTGATCTCTTTCTACATCTATTACTTAATACTTCTCAATTTGATCTTCGCATGGTCATATATTTATGATCAGCAAAATTCAAAATCTGTCGTAATAAAGTATAAAAATTTAATTTACTTTTACAATTTTTTTTCAATCATCATTGATTGCATTCTCAGACATTTTATACTTTTAAGGACAAAAAATATTGATATTTTTGGCCCAAAAAATATTGATATTCTTGGCCTAGTCAACCGGAATGACCTGATATTAAGGTATATGTATTAATTCAAAAATTTATTTGTCCCTAATAAGAAATATTGCATATGTTATGCGTAATTTTCATTCCTAAGCTTAATTTACTTGCTTTCTGCAAAACACAGTATATTTTAAATTTGTTTT